AATCCCTTCTCTCTCAAATTAACGATCCAAACACCAAATACATCCTGAGAACTGCAAACCGGCTTTATGGGGAAAAGACGTTTGAGTTTCTCTCAGTAAGTCACCATTAAATGTGTGGTGTTTCTTGGCATAATGTATTTGCTACCTCTTTTGTTTGGAGGTCAAAGGCAGGCTTTGGGCTCTGCTTTCTGAATTCTCTGAGCTGAGAACCAGCAATGCAATAGATGATGCCAGAGCCTGGTATCTGAACTTGGTGGAGAATCTCCGTTCAGATACCCTGAATGTTGCAAAGTAGGGTAAAATCTGTCCGTCTCTCCATTGTCCGAATTTTGTGATCCACTAATGCTTTTGGCTGTGGGACAAATGGATGATGTACCTCTTAGCAAAAGTCTTATAAACAAATCATATTTAATCTGACTGAAGCAGAAAGTAAAAACAACAAAAAAAGTAACCACTTCATTTCTCAGGGAAGTTACATAGAAGTTTGTAGTGCAGTAAATAAGACATTTGACTTAAAACTATACAGAAGACATTCCTAGTTCAGATAGGTGCTATATGCCCTCATACAAACGTGTCAGCCAGAACATTAATTGTTGTATATGATGCTGGGGGAGGAAAGTGTGCAGATTTATTTTGGTGTATTTAGGAAACATCTGCGTCTGAACGAGAGTAAAATCTGTTGCTGCAAATCTGTTGAGCATATCCCTGTTAGTCATTTATAGAGTCGAGTCAGAAATCCTACCATGCTGGACTGGAACCGACTGACTTCATACATGCGTGGGAGGATTCCAGAAAACAAATAAATGGCTGGGTAGAGGAAAGGACTGAAGGTGAGTGCTTTGCAAAGTGCCCTGTTGTATTTCATGGTAGCCTTGGCTTGGTTAAACAGCTATTTCCGGATAGAAGGTTGTGAATTCAAACAATCCAGCTGTTGAGCTCTTGCTCTGTGTGGTACATAATTCTCTTCTCTCTTGTGTATTAATTGCAGTGTCAATAATAGTTAGAAATGTGTCCGACAATAAATGTTGTCTGTCTGTATGCTAAAGGTAAAATTCAGAACCTGTTGGCGGAGGGGATTCTTGATTCCCTGACCAGACTTGTGTTGGTGAATGCCATCTATTTCAAAGGCAACTGGGAAAAGCAGTTCAACAAAGAGAGAACCACAGAAATGCCATTTCAGATCAACAAGGTATGATGTGCTGAAATGGTGACAATTAGCTGTTAATCTGAAATGAACACTTATCACTCTGAAGAAAAAACATTCAAGCAGGGTTACTTTGGGTAGGCTGTTATGAAATTCCTTATGCCCTCTCCCTTTCCTATGGATGCTCTTTTTGTTGAGTTTCCGAGAGGTTTCACGGAAATACTGGAAACTTTATTATAACAAAAAGGCAGGTGCAAAACTTGTGCATGTCAGTCTTCTTCAGTTACTGCCTTTTTGCTGCATTTCTACCAGTGAACTGATCCAAAATCAATGGAAAAAAAATCTGCTGTGAAGACCTCCATGTTCTAGTGTTTTAATTTTAGAGGCTGATCAGAGCTAGTGAGGAAGGCTTGGCCACTGTCATAAGCAGGCCATGGCTGCCCTCGGGATGCCCTCCACCTCTTGGCTGGCCTCCAGTGTCATGAACAAGAACTGCTAACATGCCTTCCTTAACTCACCTGCTGCAAAGAAACATTATGCAAAACAGAAGCCCTCAGGGCTGGCTTGGAAGTGTCCCTCCCCCATTGGTGAAATATGTTCAAGAATGTTTGAAATGGTTAATAGCACTTTTTAAACATGGAATGTTACTGCTCACCCTGTTCTGCCTACTGCATCC